GTTCAGGTTCATTGAACCTGAACTTGAACTGAACTGAACCTAGGAACCCTATTTAAAACAATTAATTGATTAAATCTTCAACTAGTTCTATTTCAAAATATTCTGTCTATTTAGACTAATCTATGTTAATTTCTTTAATCTAATTAACTATTTAACAAATTTAATTATATGATATGTAAATTATTTAGTTGATAACTATAGTTGGCAACTAAATGATTGTCAAAATTTTACTAGCTTGGAACATTAAGTATAGAGTTGATGGACTATTCAGAATTCTTAAAAATTTTGTATAGTATTTTGTTTTGGTTTATTTTTAAAATAGTTAGATAATGTTAGTATAGATTCTCTTGTTGCTTTGTTAAGGATATATGATTTGTACTTAGGTTCAAATTTAATAAAAGAAATTATATTTGGCAAGTTTTGTCTAAGGAGAAAAAAAATAATATTAAAATAATCAAAATTTACTAATATTTTAATTTTATATACAAACTCTTTTTTTAAATACCGTAAATTTAAATAAAGTTGTTTTTATATATCTGATATTAAATAACTTTTTTATAATATTTTTAAATTTTATTATTTAAATACAGTATATAATTTTTTATTTTTTTAACTATATACAGTATATTATTATTAAAATAAAATTCTATCTATTAATAAAAATTAGTTAAGTCCCGACAATACTAATTCTGATGTCATATCAGATTGTCGGGATTTTTGAGTGTCGGGATTTTGGGTGCCGGGATTGAGATAAACCTAATTTAAATCACAAACAATCTTTCAATTTGATCTGCATCAATATTTACCGATCACAATAACACAAGAGCGTCATATGCAGATCGTCGTAGACAGAAGGGTAAATAATCAATAACTGCATTATTCGTCAAAGATCTGTTAAATGCTATTCGGCCGCTACCACGGTCGAATGCATCTAACAAAGCTTTTCCGAATAATAACGTTACAAAAAATTTTTGACAGTTAATTTTTGTTATTGGCCGCTGCGCGGTAAAAACTGATTATCCGTCAAAAATTTTCGATAACTGCAGTTATTGTTCACTACACGCCTAATAATAATTATATAATATTGTTTATTTTTTTTAATTAATAAAAAATAAAATAAAATAATAATAATAATAATAATAATAATAATAATATACAGTATATTTTTAAAATATTTATTAATAACATTAATTACTTTATATATATAGTATATATTTAATAATATTCATAAAATATAAAAAAAAATTAATAATGATATTTATTTTTTGTTATTAATTATACTACTAAAATTTAATAATATTGATGATCTTTGTATAGCGATATATATATACTGTATTATATATGTTAAATAGGATTAGGAGAATTCATTTAGATTATCGAATACGTACCAAAGATGATCTAGATCTAGATTGGTAATTTGATAATTATATATATGGATAGTGATTTATTTTTCAAAAGTTATTACAATTCTTTAAAGAGAGCATTGTATTTTCTTTCACCGAAACCTTTCTTCAAAGCAGTAATCCACTGATGTCTTATTTAATAAATACATTAAAAACTAATTTATCATCTTGCACAACATCACGTCATCTCATAATACGTTTTATGAGTTCATCAAGTTCTGTAATATCCGCAAACAAGAAACACTTGGTTCCTACATCTGGTACATATCCTGCTGGATTTAAGGTAACAGGTCTTCATTGTGGCGTAAAGAAAAATGGAACAAAAGATTTAGCTTTAATTGTTTCCGATAGACCATGTACTGCTGCTTCAGTATTCACTACCAACGTATTTAAAGCCGCACCGGTTTTATTATCACGTGAAATTTTAGAAAAGAAAACAGGACAAAATATTCATGGAATAGTCACAAATTCTGGATGTGCTAATGCTGTAACTGGTGTAAAAGGGATTGAAAATGCAAAAAAAATGTCTGATGAAGTTTCAAAATTAGTTGGTGTAGAATCAAGTACTTTAGTTATGTCAACTGGTGTTATCGGTCAACATTTACAAATTGAAAAAATCGTACAAGGAATAAATTCCGCATATCAAAAAGCTACTGATGGAACTCACGAAGGATGGATGGAAGTAGCTGAAGCAATTATGACTACTGATACTTTTCCTAAACTTCGATCCGATCGATTCGTTTTACCTTCTGGGTTAAGTTATAATATGGCAGGAATTACTAAAGGTGCAGGAATGATTCATCCTAATATGGCGACACTTTTAGCAACAATTGTGACAGATGCACCAATTTCTGCACCTGTACTAAATGAAGCACTTAAATATGCGGTGGATAGATCTTTCAACTCAATCAGTATAGATGGAGATATGAGTACGAATGATACTTTTGCTATCTTGGCAAATGGAGCTGCTGCAAGTGATCAGGGAAAAATGATTAATGATGTAAAAGGACAAGATTATTTACAATTTCGAGATGATCTTACGAACTTTGCAGCTGACTTGGCTAAATTAGTAGTTAGAGATGGCGAAGGTGCTACGAAATTTGTTACTATACATGTTAAGGTAATAATCACATTCTTTTAATTTATTATTATTTGATTTATGAGTTAATAAAATCAATTAAATTCTTTATGTAATTCTTTATGTAAAACAGGGAGCACCAACATTTTCCGATGCCAAAAAAGTGGCATCCACAATTTCAACATCAGCACTTGTAAAAACCGCACTTTTTGGTCAAGATGCAAATTGGGGTAGAGTTCTTTGTGCAGTTGGTTACTCTGGTGTTTCATCCATCGTTCCGAACAAAGTTTCTGTTTCATTTATACCAACTGATGGATCAACACCTTTAAAACTGCTTACTCTTGGTGAACCCGAAAATGTTGATGAAGATAGAGCGTTGGAAATTTTAAAGATGGAAGAACTGGAAATTAGAGTAGATTTGGGTATTGGTAATGAGGAAGCTAAAATGTGGACATGCGATTTTAGTTATGAATATATTAAAATCAATGCCGAATATAGAAGTTAAAATTATCATTATAGGTATAATGAAATGGTTAATTTTAAAATTTTAAGTATTTACGTATGATTATTTAAATAACTTAAAAGTCAAAATAGGGACTATGTTATTATTAATTATAAACTAGTTTATCTATTTAATCCTAAAAATAAATAATAATATTAAAAAATACATGTTTCGCGTCTTTAGTACGTAGAATAATAGTGCTTACATTACCTATTGTAACTAAGTTTCATTTTCTGTAATTTAATTAATAAATGAATTTTATTTATTATATTTAGAATGCACAGCTAAAACGTTGCATCAAGGATAAAATAAATTATTCGTAAAAGAATTTTAAAACAATAGAATATCAAATTCTCATTGTGTTATAAACCTAGAAGAAAAAAAAAATTTTTGCTCAAATTTATTAATATAATGCTTGAAACCAGTATTTTCTGGACTAAATTATCTTGCGGTTTTTTTGGTAATGGAAAATATTACTAATAATTACAAATACAGTATATTTAAACTAAAATATTTATGAAAATGATCAAATCTACGATAATATATACAAAAAAGTTTTAAAATGTCTGTACAAAACAAGAAATTATTAAAATCCAATGTTCATTGTTTATTAATAAATTATTTTTTTGTTGAATGATGGATATACGGGATAACAACAATAACAACACATATTAATGTTGAATCCCAAATGGTTCTTCACGTTCTACTCCAACCTTAATGCCATCCATCCGTCCCAATTCTACCATATGGAAAAAATTTCTTTCCCACAACATCATATCCATAATAGATGCATTCTTTGGTAATTTTGTAATCTTCACCTCTTGAAATCCATAAACATCCTTCACACACTTGAAAACAACCTCGGCACATTTCTCAAAATTTAATAGACTAAATTTCAAACTAATGACAGGTGGCATGACACAGTTACAAAGCACCGTGTCAAGTTGAGGTGGTGTCATTGGGAAGTCGATGTGTAGATGACGTAATGATGATGGTAAAAATTTTCCTAGTTTTTTACATTCTTCGTTAGTTAATTCTATATTTACAAGATCTTCAGTATTCTCCTTATTAGAGAGGCTCCATCCAATAGCTAATACTTCAAGTTTCATACTCGAAATCTTATATAACTCATCAACTGGTATACGTGAGATTCCAATCGCCAAATACACAAGATTCACACATCGATGTGTAATTTCAGTGAGCAACTCAACAGTCGCATGATCAATCGTAAGCTCTTTCAAACTAGAGTGAGCTATTTTTACTAAGTTTATGGTCATAAGCCTAAAATTATTTTTCAAAAATACCAATTTTTCCACGTTCAATTTCCACGATTCTTCACCATTACCTTCAACGTCATTTTCATCCGGAACAATATCAAGAAGTTTTCCAGTATCTTTACAATAACTAACTTCATCACTTTTAATATAACAATATATAAATCGTATAGTTTTCAAGTTACTAAATTGTTCCAAAAATTTTAGGCACGTCATATTTAACGGGACAACATCGAGAACCAAATTTTCAAGATTTTTTGATTGAGTTGTTAATGCTGTCATAACAGATTTAGTATCCATAACACAACCAAGTTCTTGGGAGTATATGAAAGATTTTAACGAAGATTGAGCTCTGATTAACCTTCTTAAACGTTTTAATAAACATTTATCCTCATCTGAAGTTAAATTAATCTTTAAATGTTGAAGATTGAGAGAAAAATGAGACATAGTAGTTAAAATGTTTGAAAGGTTATCAATATCTTCATGTTCCAAGCAATCAAAGTCACCACAAAGTTCAAATTGACGAAGAGTGGAAAGAGTTTGTGGAGCTTTTGCAACTTGAGCAATATCCATTATAGTATAATCATCATCATATTGACCAATCTTCAAATTCCATAAACTTTTACAATGAGTGAATAATAATTTATAAACTTCAGATGATAGTACATGTCTTAAAGTTGGAGGTTCATATTCATACTCTAATCCATAGATTAACCAAATATCCAAAGCATTATCTAATTCAGCGAAATCCAATTCACGTAGATATGAAGGATAAGGGAATAAAGGATTTGATAATAGAGTACGATGTCTACAACCAGCAGCGTTTAAACGTTTTTTTGCGTTATCAAAAAGACAAGATAAATAAGTTCGGATGAGTAAATATGGCATAGTAACATTAGAATGATCTCTGAATGGTTTACGCCATAATAAAGGGATTGCTTGACGGCACCAGTTACGATTTACCATTAAACAATTGAAAAGAGAAGCATTATCATTTTTTAGGTACAAAAAGATATCGTAGAGGCATTCGGCAGGGAAATCCGTGAGCGCTACGTAACTATAACTTCTGTTCATGATCCACTTTAACTACTAAAGGTGTAACGAAAAATTTTTAAATGAGCCAATCAAATAAAACAAAAGGTATAATAGAATAATTATATTTCAATATTGAAACTTTTTTTTTTTTAAACATACCGTCAACAAACAAGCTTTAAATAAGCTTGAAAATAAAATTACCTGCATCACATGAAAGGAGTACAAAGATAAATTAGCAGATGCGATAAAAAAATCGAATAATAAAAATTGAATAATAATAATAATAATAAATATTTAATAACATTAAAAAAAAAAAAAAATAAAACTTACAAAAAAAAATAAAAATAAAAATAAAGTTTTCAGGATTCTGTAAAGAGTTACAGAGTAGCGTAATAGGGAAGATGTTATGTTACTAACAAAGAAGAACGATATTATTGATCGTTCGAAAAACGAAGATAGGAATAAGTAAGAAGACTTTGTTGACTAAATTCTAATTTCAAGTGTACACTTTGTAACGGGTTTTTAGTAATAACAGACTTGTACTATCTTGTGAACGAGATCTCAGCCTCTAATAAAACCAGTTACTACCAGTAGTATTTATGATGAGAAGGTATAATTGGTTAAAAAACCGAGTTCAACCTATCTTGTTTGACCTATTGCAAGAGCTGAAGCGAATCATTCAATGATTTGAATCTAACACCTGCAAGAGGGCACGGATGAACAAAAGTATACCTTTGATCTTTATGGATCATAAAGTTATATATAATAAAATTAATCAATAAATAATATGTAACCGAAATTGAATGCGGGGTAATATAATCTGGTACGTTAGGATTGTAATTAGATCGACAAATATGAGATGTTTTTAAATAATAAAGAACAATACTCGTAACATTTAGGATTGTAATCAAAAAAAACCCGATAAACAATATATTGTGTCACAGATATTATCATTTTTTGGATTTTTTTCTATTATAGTGTACGTACCTTTTTCCCCTATTGGAGAAAAATATAAATTTGGGATACTTACTTTTGTTATTCAAAATTTAGATCTCGGTATTCAGGTGTGTACATAACAAAAGATAAATACGCAAGTATGTAGGTACATACATATATACATATGTACGAGATTTATAGGAAACGTGTACAGCTTTGTACGAGCTTTGTATATGAAAAGAAATATCTATAGAATTTATAGAATAATCGATCAATTGCATTTTTATACTCTAGTTATTTTTATGGGAACCTTATATAGTAATAACAACGTATTATTTATGAAAATCCGAGATGGTAGTCACGTACAGCTTCGGATGTAACAAATAAGTAAATAATACGTTATCATAACTTCTAGCGCTATATGATTTGTGTTCAAAGGGTTATGTTTTTTATTTTTTGGTAATGAAGTGCAAAAGTGTGACAACATGCTCATTTCTTAAATAAATATCTTTTGCAGGTCTCTGACATGGCGTAGTGTAGATATACTTATCTAAGTATATCAGATATATATAAATTATAAATTATAATGTATGCATATTTAAATATGTATCGTATGTACGGACGTGTATACGTACACACATATATATTATTAAGATATAGCCTTCTTTCAACCTTCTCTCCTTACAATTTCTTTTTTCGCTTGTATTCCGCATTCAATATACTGTTAATAATTATGTAAATAAGATAAATAAGATCATCAAAACTATTGTTATAAGGTCAATTGTTTACATGTATAAGCACAATATTCTACGTAATAAATCTTGTTATTAATATAAACTCCGGTAATGGATTATCGATTAATGAAATTCTGAAAATTATTAACAATTAGATAAATAATCGAAATCTACATTTCTATTATATTCCATCATTTTTCAGACTAGACTTTTCTGGTTTTGTTTATAATATAAATCGGAAAATAGATTTACTATTTTTTTACCTGTTATTAATAAGTTCTCGTTTTTAAACGAGTTAATTTTCAATTTAAGCATAAACTATAAAAAAAAAATCATTCTAAGTTAGCCTATTTCTTTAGTAAAAACTATATAGATGTCATGCTCAATGGTTACACGATAATTGTCATTTATCGGAGTGATCAGCTAGAAAGAGGAAACAATGATTGGTCATAACGGAGAATCGCGAATAATGAATCGTAAATTTCTTAGCTAATCATTCTAACATTCAAAAAAAGTAAAAGAGTAGATAACGCAGCAAAAAAAATTCTCATAATACGTATTTAAATATTTAAATATTGATTATCTTTAATAATACAATACACCAATTTACATCAATTACAATATTAACTGAATTTTATTATTTTTATTATTTTTATTTATGGTATTTTTTAATAAATACTACAGTATTCATTCCATGGATAGAATCCTTCGCAATTAAAAGATAAAAATCATCAATTGATGATGCATATCAGATATGAAGTCCATATACGTATAACAATAATATAATTTAAGTTGTTTAAAGTTGATTAAGTGATTAACACCAATATTTTAAGTTCAGTCATGAGGGACTCGAAAATTTAATATACAGCGTCTCTCACTGGCTCTTCTAGTGAGTATCTTCGCTAAAATTATAATTTTTCGAAAATGTTTACCAGAGACGGTAAATACTTCATTGAGATAAAATGATATTTTTTGCTGATAATTTTTGAAAATTTTATTGGTTAAAGAAATAAAATTTTTCTCGATGATATCAGAATAAATAGAATGGAAGTATTTACTGTCCTTGATGTGTACAAAGGTAACATAGTAGATAGTGATGGCAGAAAAAATTCGCGATCAAATGATATTTGATCGTTCTGAACAACCAGAATATAAGCAAACCATACTTTTTTGATACTGATCGTCGTGCAGATCTCAGTAAAAATAAGAATTTTCAAAACTTCATCTCGTCAACAATCTCACCAAATTCGATAACCCGTTTTTTATTTGAATTCTATGGATTCTTAGAATTCGAATAAAAAATTCTTCATCGAATTTAGTCAAGTGGCTGTTGAGATATCTTTGCTCAAATTTAGATAAAAATCAAAACGCATATCAAAATAGAAGCTGCGTAAATTTTTTCTCTGACTTTAAGTGAAGATATCTCGACAACCATGATCAAACTCGATAAAACGTTTTTTATTCGAATACTATGAATTCATAGAATTCGAATGAAATCGAAATTGGTCAGATGATTGTCGAGATACCTTCGCAGAAAAAATGATATACGTTTTGATTTTTCTCTAAATTCGAGCGAAGATACTCGATAACCACTTGACTAAATCCAATGAAATTTTTTTATTCGAATTCTATGAATCTATAGAATTCAAATAAAAAAAGTTTTATCGAATTTGGTCAGATGGTTGTCGGGATATCGTCGCTCAAAGTTTTGGAAATTCTTATTTTTACTGAGATCTGCACGATCAAAATAGTATAATATAATATAATATAATATCAAACATACAAAAAATTTATGCTCACGAATTTTTTCTGCCACCACTATGTTATCTTGTGTACCGATGCCCGATGATCATGTGATAATCCAGAAATCGATCATTACTGATACTGATTAGATTATCTCGCTTTTACACTTGTTACGCATAAAAAAAACGATTCATTAAACTCAACTATTTTACCAAATATTATTCATTAAAAGCTATAACGAATACGAATCTGAATCAATTATTACGTAAATAGAAAAAAAGGTGCATTCGAAAAAACATTTTATTAGAAGACATTAAACAACTTTTTTTATTTATTAGACCAATACAATGCAAAATAGATTTATAAAAAATTTTTTTTGAATTTTATTAGTTATCGTTTTTAAAAAAATAACATTTTACTTACTTAATATAATCGTTACAACTTGAGTATTATAAACAGTAATAATATAATTAATACACAACTTTTTAAACTAATCTTTAATAAAATATTAGAGCAAAAAAAAAGATACTTTAAATACGAAAAAAAAGAAAAATTTGAGATACTTAGTTTCAGAGATTCAGAGATAATTACTCTTACTTGTCCCCAACCACCACGTAGAGGTGTATCTCATTGGTTGGGAAGGCGACCCCCAGCCCATCTCTCTTCCACCGGTACTAGTCGTGGCTCGTTTCCCGGCTTTGAGCGGGTTGTTCCCTTGAATCATTAATATGTTAAATATTTCATCAAGTAGCTTTTGCTCAAGTTATCCTCTCAGAGCTCGAGAATATCCGTACCGTTTTAGTATACTACTATTGAATAAATAATGTAAAAAATAAATAAAAAATAAAAAAAAGTTTAAAAACGCGAAATAAAGAATGAGATTTACAAGAGAAAAAGGTGGTTCTTATGTCTTTTTTTCATCAACATGTGTTTATTGTTTTGAGATCTGCAAACACGCGATTTTTGAACGTGTAATCAAGTAAAAACCTGTTTCAAATCAGTCTGAGTGTGGTTAGGGTTGTACGAGTCAGAATCTTGATGGGTCACGGACAAACAAATGTTCTCAAACGGGTAAGTGCATGCTCTTAGGACCAAAGAATTTGTGTGTGCTTTTTAGAGTAGCATAACAGGCGATTGGCTAATTTTTGTAGATCACTCTGTGATTTTCATTGGCTGATATAAAATATAAGGTCGCCCGAAATACAGTACAGTATAATAAATAATTTGTTACGTAATAAATTAATACGAACGAAATAAAATTTAAATAATAAATGATTCTAATTTTTATCTGGGTTAATACTGTGGAACGAATTAAGATCTTTTTCTCGAAAGTTTATGATCACCCAAAAGTTCTTTTTCCAGTAGACATCTTTGTTATAATAACCAAATATAATAAAAGCGATTGGTAATTTTTGACCTTGAAAAAAAAGCATTTGAAATTACGTAAGATGCCTATAAATGCCACCCGAATCAATTTCATATATAATCCAGATCTAAGATCAAATATTTAAATATTACTACTCTGAAAATCTATATGAATAAATCTAACCCTATAAATTCATTTGAATCTAACGAAATAAATTATTTATCGTTATGTCGTGCATCAAATTAATAATACGGAGTTTA